GAATTAAAGGGCTAACATGTATCCATGGGCTTCGGATTATCAGTCTGGAGTTCGCCACCAACAGTATAACCAGCCCTAAAATATCACTTCAATCCTCCAAGCCTCTTATCCACTCCCGTTCGCTCGTGGCGGGGGAGTAGTCAAAATAGAAAAAACTCACATTGAGTTTGGGGATAATCAGGTTCGAACCGATGACTTCCACCACATCAAGGTAGCACTCTACCACTAAGTTATATCCCTTTCCCATCTTATCAAGAAAGAGAATTAACGAATCATAAGGCAAAAATGCGAGAAACTCAAGGCCGCTCTTTCCCCGGGTTTTTTTTTCGCAAAGGGAATGTCAGCCAGATAGCACTACCAAAAAAATACGCTATGGATCATAAAGTGGTGCGGCATGCATCTACAGCCGGACTTGCCAAATCCGGCACCCTATACGCGCCCGCGGACAGTGACCGGGCACTCCCTAAATCCGCACGTCCACAACCGCATATCTTATATCTGGCACTCTATATCCATACAAAATCATGCAACATAATACGTAGATCACCAAACGGGCAAAATCGACAGGAAACAGACTCTAAACAGATAGCAAACGGGCATACATTCACATATAAACATCACCAAAAGACTGGTCATAGTTCACACGGTTCGAACTGTCCAGCAAATGCTAACTAGATACTAAGAGGTAGATACTACGAGCTAGATATGAGAGGGCAGAGCTTCACCACTTCCTCACCGGCCCTTTCCCCTTCCGATCGCCGGCGATGCTTTAGGCGTCCGCGGCATGAGGTGGGTCGATGTCGGAGCCGTCGGAGGAGGAATCAAAGACGACGATGTAGCCCTTCAAGCGCCGGACGATGCGGTCCTGCTTGCGCTTGAGCTTGGCCACCCTCGCCGCCTACCGCTCGGACTCCTCAGTGTTGAGCCGGAGCTGCTCGGCATTGATGCTTCGGAGCTGCCAGGCGTCCATCTACGTCGTGTAAGTGATCGACGGTACACCCACTGAAGGAGACACTCATCCTCGTAGGGCACCGGCATCACGCGGCGGCG